ACGCAAATTGACGACGACTTGTTAAGCACTTTGCGAATGAGTCTTCTTTCACACGCACCTAAGTTTCCCACTTGCATACAAGTAATTCTCCAAACCCGGAAAAAGAAAATGTCCGGCGTGTTCTAAAATAAGCATCATCTGGAAAGGGTTTCGGCGTCAGAGGGGTTCGTTGACGAGGCGTATTCATCGCCATGGCGGCATGAATATTCATACTTAAACTAATGTTGAATGATGCGAGCACAGGCGATAAGCAAAGGTGGAAATGGAACGAGCGGAAGCGAGATCATGCGGAAGCGAACATCTGTACGCGTGTAACTTCCGAGACATCGCGCGAAATACCCGCCGACGCGACATTCGCAACAGGAATACATATTCAGATCGGTTTTCATTCAAATTAGGCCATCCCCCTGTGGACGGCCGCCATTTCCGGTATATGGGTGACGCAGTCACAGTCAAACTATCATCGTGTGCAGCGCCCTCTTTTTTTCCTCGCACACACAACTACTTGATTCGTTATTTGTCAGAAACATTTGTCAGGCCATTGTTAGGAATGAAATGATATATGCGGCGGCGGAAAACTGATAAAACTTTTTAATTCAAAAACTTCCGGCGCACGGAATCTGTCGAAGGACGTCTAGGACTGTGCGCGGGTTAAGTCTATAACCGAAATTTAACGTTTCGCTTTGCTCGCGCCGCGTTTTTCCGCCCGGCGGACTTGCAAAGCTGTTATGACTCTTGTCACGTCAAATATTCATACCGTACGTTCAAAATGCCACCCCTAATAAACCCATATAAGATATATTCGTAAATATGATATTTTTATGAGCGCAATTTGTCACTTGGGGCAAGAATTAAAGACAGTTGATGTTTGTGGTGGTTTTATGATGTAACTATGGAGAAAATGGGTTGCAACACCCTGTATGTGGGTCGATTATACGACGTTCCATACCGCATCCATACATCTGCATCCACAAACAACGTGTCACACGCCAGGATGGGAATAACCACATTCACGAGCGTAACTCCACAAGTTATATCTCATTTTCGTTTTCATTTCCATATCTCTATTCGTGGCACAAACTTTGCTACCTCCACGATGGCCAATCCGATGTAGTCGTATTTCCCTGGAATGCTTGAACTCATATTAACAATATTTTCCACTCTGATCGTGTTTATTTTTATCTGGGACCTGAAAATATTCCAAAATAAAATCCAATAACATTTCTTGTTTGTAATTATTAATTTCAAGTTTCTCTTGCGCATGCGCCGGAAAAGTTTTATTACTACCCCCACCTCAATTGATATTAGTTGAGCGTAGACTTGAATTCATACGCCATCCAATGGTCAGCACCGGCCCAATCTCGGATGTTTGTCGGTGCGCATCATTTTAATTGCTCGCCCAAAAGGCTTTTCGCTCGATGCATGCGCCGTAAGTAATGAGTTTTCCAATTTGTAGTTGAACTGATGGAGCGCGAAATAAACGCGCGGACGCAAAGAACAAAAACACGCATGGGATATATATCAAGCGACGACAAACCGCCGCCCCGGCCTACGGCATATTCTTTCAATGGGGGGATGGCCGGGCGGCGGTGGCGGCTAATTTCGGGGGTGTTTTTATCGGCCCGCGCTATGAAGCAGCGATTGCACACAGGTGCGTGGCTTTTGTGGACATCGCGGACACGCGACGCATTTATTTATGGTTTTCGGGGGGCCGGCGACTTCGAATTACAGGCGTGTGGGGTGGGGGTAGGGAGAGTGGAAAACTGATGGCTTTATATCGCTTTCCATCACTTTTGTCCACGGCCGGAGGTGTCGCCCTTCGAAAACCCGCACCTATTTATGGTGACCTGATAATAGTAATCCTTATACAGGGTGTTTATTAAAAATAAACATAAAATTAAGTAGAATCAATCAATGGATAGGAAAATTTGAAAGAAAATTTTGTAGTTTTGAGATTTTTTCGCGGGGATTTTACATGGATTGATATAGAAAATGCCCGTGGTATTATTCATACATTACCTACACTCGTTTCAATGGCGGTGGCAGCGGCGGCGGCGCACCAATACACTGGAATGATTTATCGCTAATTTCGGGTCTCGCGTTGCCGCCGCCACTATTGCCGCGCCTCCGCATTATCGTGATATATTGTGATTTAGTCTCTTTATATCTGCACATTTATATTTGCGCTCAATGCATGCGCATTTCCCGATCCGCCACCCAAACCACCATCACCACCCACCCACCCAGCCGCCTCACGAAAGGTACGCTGCGAATATTTCACCACCGAAAGTTCAGGCGTGTGAACTTTCCGCCGAAGACAACATTTCGAAGCGTGATTTACACGCCGTTCGTGGCACATGCGTCATTTTATTTAATACGAGCACATCGACGCCGTGCTGCATGCGGATTTCTTGTTTTTATTTTTCATTCGGGTGATAAAGCGAAAATGTCGTCATACGTGCACAGGTACCTTCTCTATACATTTTTTTTCTTCATTATTTGACGCGCGGCGAGCAAATCAAATTCAATTCGCGCCTGCACAACCCCTTCGGAAATTAAATTCCGATTTAACGTTAATATTTCATGTTGCAGCGTCAACTGTCCGCCGAAGTTAATCTGTTTACGCACAGTTGCGCGCCGCGTTTACTGCACGAGCGCGATTTTATTATTTATCATAATATTCTTTTCATCGGGTTTTATCTCGGCGCGCGCAGGCGCCGCGCGCTGTAATGTTATTAAGTATCAATTACGTGTGTGCGCGCACGCATTATTCAAATTTATTTGACAATGCGCGTGTATTTATCGGCGGCGCGAATTGCCCACTGGGATTACAAATATTTCATCGGCTGGTGTCGCCAAAAAATATTATTAATTATCGGCGATAATTATTACGGTCTTGTCGCTGACAACTGCGTGGTGTACATGCATCGAAGTCTAAATATTTGTTACGTTTTCAGCGCGGAAATCGATGCGCTTTGCCGATATGTGGACTCACACAATATTTTCCTAGTGTATCCGCTTTATCGTGACCCGATTTATTATTTGTAGTCATTATGTAAACACAACATGTTGGTTAAATAATGCAGAATGCATCTGCACATCAGCGCGCGAATGAAAATTCGTCGCCGTTGCGTAATTACCGACGTCTCGCGATAAACGCCAATAAATTGCTGGTGGAAATGTCGACGCGATGCATGCACGCGTGCGCGCCAACAATAGATTTATTTTATTACACCGGCACGTAAATAATATCAATTCCATCAATCAATACGCCAGGTAGTCGTGTTCACGTTTTATTGACGTCGTATTCAATTCTTGTCCTGTGTTTTTTACGCAATGTCAACTTAAACTCAAAGGTGACACGCAACTAAAGTTGTTGATATTAATTTTGAATTAAAATTGGATTAAAATGTGAAATATTTTGAAATAGTTTTTTGAACTTCAAAGGATTGTTGCGTGATAACTAATTAGGCGCGAGTGATTTATCCCCGGGAGGCGGCGTGCTAATGCCGCCGTCCGCCTGCATAATGCACGACATTATTAGATGCCATCGCCGCCGCCATGCTCGACGGCTCATTCGGGATGACGTCAAATTGGCGAAATTGCCGCTAGACGCGGCTAAACGCTCTCGAAAGCGCGCCCGATACGGATTAGGATCAACAGGAAGCCGAGGCCGAGGAGCGATGTTGAGATTGGGTCCAATCGCCGCCGCCGGTGTGCGTAAGAGTTTGTTGCATAATGGATATACTATAGGGTACGATAAAATTCACACCGCGTTTAGCGACATCTATCGTCAATAATCTAAACTACAAAATGGTTTACAACCTGCTGAATATTACTACTGGAGAAAAAAAATTATTTTGTGTGTTTAGTGGATTTGCTGGTAATTTGTAAAACAACCCGGGTTATGGGGGTGGTTTCCTGCTTGTACAAGCGTCATTAATCTCCCTCACGGATTGATTCAGCACGATTGCGCGTCGTCTTTAATCCGAGCTCCTCGGGCGACATCGCCGCCGGACCGAGACGTCTAAACGCAAAACAATAACCGCAACACAAGCACACCACCACCGCCACGTGGCGGCGGAGGGTCTTTCGGCGATTTGCGAAACAACTCGTTTCCCGGCGCTTCCTGTGCAAACAACCGGCGATTTACGACTGATTATTTACTCGCCGGGATGCGTTTGTTTATGTCTTGGTCCTAAACAGCTTTGCGAATTATATTTAACTAAATGGATATTGATATTTGCCCCAATTGCGATTTCAATTTCAATTTGTTCGACGTGCTTGTTTCACCATTTCTGCATTATGCATGGAAGACCTTTTAATAAGCACCGGGGTAAAGTTATACGTCGTGCTGCTGCTGATTCGACGTTTTGCGGCCGCCGAAGCCAGCAAAAGTCGAAAGAGGCCAACGAAGCCAATCGCACAAAGTCGTTGTTTGCACGGCGACGTTGCACAATAGCCGACAATGTTTTCAATTTACGACTGTGCGCTATCGCGCATGCGCAGTTAAATACAACAACGATGAATATTTTGTCTGTTAATCAAAAAACACACAACTAATTAGTTTGTATTGATTATTTGTTTGTTCAGATATGACACAGTGAAGAAAGGCGTTGAATTAAACGTTTTATCAGCGTTGATAAGCGTCATGCATGCACACGAAACATTTGACACGCTAACACTGTTTACTTTGTCTATTAAAACAACTTAATTAGCAATAGTAATGAAATAATGATGATATGCTCACTTGATAGGTGCGTTTAAAGATGTTTTGTTGGTTGGAATGCAGTTGTTGGTATTCTTTTCTGAATAATTCAATTCGAAAATCAGTGTAGGCGCGCAGCGAGTAACCTCTTCCTGCGCCTCTTCACCTCCTCATCCTTTCCGTGCGCGCGCTCGTCGGTCCGCGGTCGCGACGCGCGCTCCGGACAGTGCGTGCAAGTACTTCGCGGCGTTCGGTCGCGTCTCCGCTCTTCGCCCGCGCTTGTTGTGTGTGTCGTAAATTCTTATCGCTTATTTTCGACGATAGTGCGCCGCGCCGTCGACTGCATGTTTTCACTGTGCGCGCGCGAGCGGAAATACGCGAATAATTCGTGGAAATTCCGTCCGGAATTGTGGAATATCGACGCGTTTTGCGGTGAGTACAGTTTGTTTGAATCGGTGTCGAGCGCGTTGCAAACCGCAGCCGCAACAAATGTAACATGATAAAACGCATGCCACAACACGCTAGTTATCGCGCAACACACTCGACGAAATCGCAGATAAGTTTCGTCTTCAAGTTCAACATGCATCATTTATCGTAACAGGTTTGCGCTGACGCGACGTATAAACTCGACGCATTCAAATTAACATTACCATTAACAGTTAGGCCATTATTTGTGTACGAAAGTCGGGCTAATGTAGCGAATTAGTTATGGTTATTAGAAGAGTCAACCGGGTACATGGGGAGCAAATTACAGTAGAAAAAAATTAAAAACTCATTTCATGTAATGCAATAATGGCGATAAGCATGCTTAATATTAATTAGCAGGTACATTAATTAGTAACTGCGCTGCATTCCGGGCGTTTGTTTACGTTGGCTTTTAGCGCAAAATTTCACAGGAATGTGTCTGCAGACGCACCGTAATGCATGAGCCGTGTAATAACTTCAAGCATGTTATGACAAGTTATTTAGAAAGAGGGAAATTGTGGGCATTCCGCGCGGATGACGAGTCAATGCGAATCGAATTTATCTCTTCGGCTTCGGTGTTGCGAAAGAATTTCGGCCATTAATCGCCACTTTCTTAATGAATCATCATCTGAATTTATGCTGTCATTGTCGAGCTAATTGAGGTATTTAAGGTGTGTTTTGTCTCCGATATAAATTATAAATATATACGAGTAGATCTATTCTGTTCATTGTCTCCGCGGCGCAATTACATTAGCGCACAATGGGAAAGAATGTCGTGCGCCCAACTTCGAGAGATGATGGAATTTCGGTGCGCGGAAGTCTTCTGCGCCATTGTCAATAATAATAATTCGAAACTTCTGGTGGGTTTCACCTACGAGTAGAACCCACATAGGTTTAAACTTGGAAAATGAAAAAATGACTTGTTGCGTCGCGCTTTCTTCGACAAATGCGGCGGAGAAAACGCTTCATGCCCAAAAACAAACACACGCTGAAGTACTGCTCGACCGGTGATGGTGATTCTTTCGCGTGGCGGCCTCGCAAAAAGATCATACCGTGACAGACCGCCCCCGTCGGAAGGGTGCATAATAAATAATCTCGCGCGCAACTATTACGTAACCCAGCGCGCTTGGGGAACTCTCCAAGCTAAGAACATTGAACATGCAATTTGGTAATTGTGATACCGTGCACCGTACGTTACGGTTGTCTCGTGTATTATGCATTCGCCGCGCAGAAATAACCAACTGGTAAATAACGAATTTTCGCCGAGCGTAAAATGTCACAAACGGCATCGCCGATGCGCGTGCGCTGCGTTTTTTTCTGCACTCCCTGGAAATCGGCGCAAGAGCTCGGTGCACAATAGGATTTGTTATACTTAACATTGTGCAGTTGCGCAATGCAAATGAGACCTAATGCGGCATAATGATAGCTAAATATTGTCAGGCGCCGTTTCGTGTATGTGCGCTCACACATTGCATCGAATTTTCAACCTTTGTGTGTTTGTATATTTACTCGGTAAGATAATCCACTTCCTATTGTGACCAACATACGCGACCCACTGCAGGTGCATTTTCGTATCGCGGCGCGCATTACCCAACAGCTAAATTGTTTCCAATGATTCCAGCATTCCTTTGTACAAGATTTTCCGAATCTTTGCTCTAATAACCATCAACTACAAAACCACTTTTCGATCGTCTCCGTAACTTGCGTGCGTGCTGCGTAATACCGCATTAAAATACATATCAAATCAAGATGGCTTACGGAGAGGTCATTGTAATTACCAGTGTCACAACGAATGTCTCATTCGTGAATTTCACGGTTAATCAATGCGCATGGCGCATCTGAATGCATCGCAACGCGAGAACAACGGTTGTTCGCAATTGGATGGCCGGACACAATGAAAAATTGAATTTTATTGCCGATTTGCACGTGTGAGTGGCGGTTTCGGCAGCCGGGACGCGCGATGTGGGATACGACGTTACGTGTACACACACATTACGTCGACGTGACGTTACGCGCCTCTTCTGCGTTTCTGTGTCTCTACCTGTTAAGTAGTTACTTACCTGTTGGCCGACGCAGGTAGGCTTCGCACGTACACGCCGATCAAACACCGCGCGCGGCCCGCATGCTCGCGCGCGGTGTAAAAACCGATAGCCTCGAATGAACAGTTAGTCGACAAAGCAGTCATTAGACGAGAAGTCAGCAACGTGTGGAAATGGCCAGCGTATACTGGGTATTAGCTAATATTATCAAATCGTATTTTTCGATTTTTAGCTTTAAAATGATGGTTTTGATGTAGAAAATATGATATTTTAAATATGGATGGTCTAAAGTACTTTAGTCACGGGCTTTAGTCACGTGGTGCAGCACAGAACAAGTGGAAGTAGAAAAAATAAACGTTGTTAAACTAAAACTTTATTTTCCACGGTTTTGAGGCACGAAGTACTAAAGTACTTTAGTCACCGGCTTTAGTCACGGGGTGGCTAAGCACAAAACTAATGGAAGTAGGAAAATAAACATTGTTAAACTAAAACTTTATTTTTTCACGGTTTTAAGGCACGAAAAGTGGAAATTTAATCACTCGTGACTAAAGTACTTTAGTCACCGGCTTTAGTCACGGGGTGGCTTAGCACAAAACTAATGGAAGTAGGAAAATACACATTGTTAAACTAAAACTTTATTTTTTCACGGTTTTAAGGCACGAAAAGTGGGATTTTATTCACTCGTGACTAAAGTACTTTAGTCACCGGCTTTACTCACGAGGTGCCGCACAAAAAAAGTGGAAGTACAAAAAATAAAAATTTTTAAACTAAAACTTACGTTTTTTATGATTTTGAACCACAAAAAGTGACATTTTATTCACTCGTGACTAAAGTACTTTATTCCCACTTAGCGCACTAGATATTTCATATACTATTTCCGCCCTGGGTGCGAAATATTAGCGAAATTGCAAGTAATATAACGTTGCCCCATTTCGAGTATACAAATTCAGCAATTGCACTCGGGCGATCGCAATACGAATGACGGCATTACCGCTGAAGATACCTTCCTGCGATACGACGCCATACACAAATACCCACCGATGGTGCAATTCCGCCCATCCTGGTGGAAATGAATCGCACGCGAGCCAATTTGAAAGATACACCAATATATCCTTAATTTTTGCGTCTTTGTAACAACTTGGGTGTATTGAAAAAGCGGCGCGCAAAAAGACACAGATGATGCTAGTGATACGCGGAAACGGGAAGCAAACGCGGATAATCGCATGGCGCACGATGTGTTTTGCGCTGCATTTGTTCACTTCTCATGTGCACGTATATGTGTGTTGTGGGGCGGGCGTCTCGTGAACGCTGCCGAGCGAGATTCTCATGCGCGGCGCGCTGCACATTTGGCATGCACTTTGTTTTCGTATCATCTTGATATCATTTGTTACACGCTGAAGTCGCAACAAGCCGATAATACACGGCGAGATTTTACTTGCAAATTGCGCCTGAATTGCAAATCACCTGCTTTTCAACTGATCGCAGCAGCGCGCCTGAAAAACCGCACGGCGCTTAAACGGTTTACATGCAATTTTTCAATGTCTGACCTAGTGCGCATGCGCACTAGCACCAAATTCATATTTTGATTAATATATGTGATTTTTTTTAATTTCAGGTGTACCGGGAGAGATTTTCGTATATTAGGTGAGTGTGGCTTTTCATTTTTGAAATCGTTGATGGTTTTCGAAAGTAACGCGAAAAGCGATCGCGTTGCGCAAGCCGCTGCCGCGCACCGACGCACAAAATAACAATCAAACAATCTCTGACGCGAAGAATGAGAGAATTAGCCGCTCGTATTAATTTCATTTAATTAACACCGGTGTTCTACACGTGCGATAATAATTAATAAGCAGCGCTGACCTTAATTACGTGTATTAGTTTTCCCTCCTCGCATTTCCGCATTGTGCTGATGCACAATGCTGTGTGCATTAACGCGTCGCGCGAAATAAATCACAGGCATCGATCCCCGGAGGCAGTGCGCGACTGAAATTGCGGCGAAATCTATGACTCTCATTTAGCGCTTAATGTGTAAATACTTTCCTTTGATGCGGCGCACATGCTTAGCGGCGGCGAGAGACACAAAGGTGTTGAAAACGCAGCGCGCGGGCACGCAAGAGCGTTTGCATTGTACTTAGTTAGCGGCCTGCTATTCAGCGTTAAATTGCTTTTCCGTAATACGCCGATTGGGCCGAACGCTATAAAAACTGGGGAAATTCGCGATGCAACCACATGCACACGCACGCACAATACGATCGTTTATTACTGCGTTTACATATCCATCGTGCGTGTTTTCTCCGCTGTGGCAGAGGCCAATGATGAATCTCGCGATGCACCTGATTGACCTGCATGTACACCGTTTGCACACAATATGGTCGACCTCTCGCGTCACGCGGAACCGTGCGCCATTCATAATGGAAACGTCAATTTTTCCAAGATAACGGTGCAGGCTATAACAGGTTAAACGACGTTCTTCGGTGTCTGATGAGGAAATGAATATTGTGTTCTGCGCATGCGCGCTAGCGCCGAAGTAATCACCGCTTGTGTGGGTAAACATTTTGAATAAGTTTGACAAATTTGATGCACGATGCAGGAATGCGAAAATGTCAATCTAATTAAAGTTTTGACGCGCAACAAAAGGCGCATCTTAGCCGAGATCGCGCGTTTCGCTCTTCGTTAATTCGCAAATCTATAATTACAAGCGCAATTACGAGGGATCCGCGCCGAGAGATGGAGGTATAATGATTACGCGACGAGCTATAGACGGTTTGTCGGCCGTCGGCCGCTGGGTGCGAGATTAATGATGGAGTGCACATAAATGTTAATACGAATTACAGTTATTATTTTATTACGAATGCTAAACAATTTGCATTGTGCGGACATCAGACGTGTTAACCTTTTGTGCAGGAAGAGAAGTGGCCTTATCACTTTTTTGCGGTTATCTCGTAAACTAAAAGAGATAGAGAGGAACGGATTGAAAATTATTAATCTATGGGAAATTCTCTATGAGATAGGATATTTAAATTGAGGAGAGCTAGGAGGGGTCGAGGGTTAATATTCATAACGGAAATTTGAAAAATAACGTTTCATGGTTTTTGAGTATTTTTTGTTAATGAATATCTTTTAAACTAAAAGTGATAACGACTAACGGATTGAAGATTGTGAAAGATTGTAAAATTCTCTATTAGATAAGAATTAAATATAATTATATTCCGTGGGGTAAAAGGTCCAAAAACGTGACTAAAAAAGTGCTAAAAAGTGATTTTTTTGTTTTTTACGAAAATCAACTTTTTAATGATATTTCAATTGCGAATATCTCGTAAACTAAAAACGATAGGGGGAAACGGATCAAAGATTCTGAATCTATGGAAAATTCTCTATAAGATAGGATATTGTCCTATATCAATTTTGTTGGGTAAAACTTCCGAAATCGTGATTGAAAGTGCCAAGATTTTTTCTGCGATTTTTCTGTATTATTTGCTCAAACTGCTAGTTCTTATGTGCATGTAATGAAACTTACAAATATAAGCACCCCACAAAACCGATGTGCACTTCTCCAAAACAGAACCACGTAAAACCAAAATAATCTGCATCTTAACAAATGCTGTAATGTTTAAGTCGTTTCCTTTGTCCGGAAAAAATCCTCGAAGGAATCTGAAGCTGTTCGCGCAAGACTTTCCCATACACCGCTGTACCTACTTCTTAACATTCTGTATACGGAATTGTACGCTGCGATTCCCGCGGGATTTGTCGGGTATCTCGGCGCGCGGAATTTTATCAGGCGCGCGTCGCGACGCGAGGACAATGAAATACGCGACGCCGCAATAAAAAATTATCATTAAAAGAGGAGAGAAGGTAATGAAAATGTGCTCGACGTCATGTATGCAAATGCTTCTTGGGCGCTGTGTGCGCGCACCACCACCGCCGCGCTCGGAAAACAAATATAATTTCATTCGACTCGAAACACCGCCCGAGATAGATAGGCCGCCAAGTTTCGTCCAAACTTATGCAATTACAATTACGCGCGCTTAATCCAATTGCGCGTTTTTAAGCGCGTAATTTTCGACGTTTACCCACTTGTATTTCTCCTTTTTTTGTTCACCCGGCGAACCCTCGGGGAGTTCACCTCCGTTGGTCATACATTCGCCTATGTCGATATTTCTATTCGCGTTTGCATTGTTTTATTCTGGATTTCCTGCGCGCGGCCGATTCAAAACGCAATCAACTTAAATTCAATTACATAGCGAATTACCTACGAAATTTGATTCCCAGTTTGCTGCAGCATGCGAGACCCGCCTGTGTTTCGTATCATGCTTGTTTTTTTCCCTCTTCTGCACAGCTTACGGCGCTGTGTTTTAATACATCTATTAAAGTAAACAATTCGAATTAATTACAGTTTCCGCGTTGCAATACCGCGCACGAAAAAAAACCACGCCGCACGAATTAATTAACGTTTTGTAACCGTTTAATTAAGTCGGTTAAATAATAAAGCGCGCGTATTTTCTAATTTTCATCATCATCGGGGAGGAGGCGGGCGGTTTAATCGTGCGATGTCGATCTGGCTGAGGTTACGCGAGTTGCTAATCGGCGCTGATTATGCGCATATGTGGAAACATCTTATCCGGATCTCGTCGCTGTCGAGATGGTTCGGCTCGAGCGCACGCCGCCGCTGCACCTGCATGAATAATTAATTAATTTCGCGATTGCATTAATTGCGCGCCACCTGGATATGCCTGCGTGCGTGCGCGTGGCTGCGAAATTCGCGCGCGCATCACACAAAAATTTGTTGCTTTAATTAAAGTTGGGGCATGTCGATGTGTTGTGAATTTGCCGCGGTCGGGAAACTAATAAACAACTGTGGTTACCGATAATATTGACGCGTGTTTGATTGGGGTCGGTATATATTTTTCGGCGCAATTTACATTTTCGAGCCGATATTAAAACACAAACCGAAATAAAGCAAACATGTTGAATTCGACGTGCTTCCGGTTGATTTTTTTAAATTTTCCCGTATGCTTTGAGTTGCGGTATATGTACCGAACGTTATACATTACATAACCGCGTTTTTTTTTGCGTTGTGTCGTGCGTTGCGCTTATCACAAAAGCGCGGAATGATAATTACTTGTCGTCGCGCGTTTTCCGCCGCTCACATCACGCCTCGGCCATTGTTGCATCCGTACGCCATTGTGGTTGCAATATTGGAAGCGATTTACTGCATCGCAGTCGTGACACCCATTGATGTGCACACAAAGGACGCCGCGAGAAGAAGAAACTTTCGCGAATTACGTGCCGGGCCGGCCTTAATCCAAAACGTCGATTTATTAAAACTGTTGCTTTTATTGTACAAATTCGATTGTGTCGCGGAATCGAGGGCATATGCAGAATCGACTAAACAGTGATTTGATTCGCATTGACGTCGCGACGTTGCGCATCAAACGTGCAATTCAGTTTTACGATTGATTTTTTATTTTATTTTATACTAGCAGTTGCCCGCGACTTCGTTCCGGCAGTGTTTAATAAAAATGTAATTCGTTTTTACTGTCTTGTTCTAGACATACACGTAGTAAGAGTCAATTCTATCAATAAGATTAGCAATTTTAATTTAAAGAAATTATGCATATAAAGTTTTGTCAATAATGCACTTCAGCGCGCCATCTCGAATTCAACTATTTAACTATAACTATGATTGAATCTCAATGTCAAATTTTATTCTATAGAAAAGAGCTGTTTTGAGGATTTTCCCGGCAATTATTCGAATTTTTCTCACCTTTTAAACCTTCCCTAGACCTCCACGAATAATTCATGACCAAGATAAGATAAATCCGTTCAGCCGTTCTCGAGTTTTAACGAAACTAACGAACAGCAATTCATTTATATATATATATATATATATATATATATATATATATATAGATTATTGCATCGATAAAATCACTGTTTTCATCCAATTTTTTTCATGGAAGAAATAAATGTGATCAAAATTTATTATAATCATTATATACACATTGACAACGACAATAATTGTAAACGGTTGATTAACGACTAGTCACAATCGGGCACTTTCCTCTGGTAGTCAACTTTCACGCATCTTCGACTTTCGTTTCTATTCATTTTTTCAAACGACGACGACGACGCATCACTTCAACTTTGCCACTTTCGGCGGTTTATTTATGACTCATCTGCCGATGCGATGCCGATGCTCACTTTCATCGCTCCTTCCACATCCGCTGCGCTGGCATTCTTCAATTATTCTCTAATTTATAAAATATTAATGTTTCATTTATACTTTGCGCGGAGTTGTGTAAATGCCCGATGTGCGATGCGCTTTGTCTTCGTTAATTAAACGGCGCTGCGCCGCGTCTGGAGTTCACAAATTAGATAGAGTCTCGAGTCGAAAGTCGGCGAGACGAAACGGACTTAAAGTTAAAGTTTCAAGCGCGACACGGCACGATGACGCCCATTAAAAATTGATTATGTTTGGAAGCGTGTTTTTGTCATTCGCGATTATTTGTCACTTGATAGTTGTTCTTCTATCGCGAGCCGCCGCGCTATTTTTTAATGCGCTGCATTCCTTTTCCTGTTTTTTTTTTTCGCGAAGATCTTCTTACGCGTTTTGCGCGCCCCGGGTTCGTGCACTTCGTTTTCGG